GTTTGTTGGATGTACAGAGATAATTAAGGTTCTGGATAAATAACACATGCTTGTTTGCACCACGGCACTTCAACCATCCCTTCTCGGCTTGACACATGTCCTTCCAGAGCTGGTCCAGATGTGGGTTCCACCACTGCTTGCAGCGCCGCCATCGTTTGTTGTTCCAGGAGTCGTACTTCGCGTGTCTTGTCGGTAGCTCGCTATGCATTGACAACACACCTAGTGAACCGTTCATAAGCACTCTTTATGTCACACTGCTGTTTCTCTGATGCGTCCAAGTCTGTTATCACGTCGTTTATCAGCCTCTTCTTTTCATCAGATGAAAGATTTGAACACTGTTCACGGGTCACCACGCTCAAAACTGGCCAGCCATGAACTCACTAATAAGGGGTTAATTATATGGGGTCTCCTCCTGTCTTTACAAGAAAAAATAAGCACTGGACTACATAGCGCTGCGTGAACTACATTTTATGTTAGCAGTGAAAAACATTACAGTTAAAAGTCCAACAAAGCAAATGCAGGCTGAAGATGGATATTCTGTTCTGATGACGTCTGTTTAATGATGCTGAAGAATCTATGGTAGGTGGTCTGTTTCGTGTCTGGAAGAAGTCCATAATCAGAGGAAACATCTTGTTGTTGACCATGGCATGGACAGCTGGTAGTGAACAGTAGGGCTTATGCTGAAGGTGCCCTCACAGTAGAAAGTGTTGGCTCTGGAAAGGTGTTGGAGGTTGTGGTGAAGAACCAATTATAATCCGACATTAACTATGGTCGGATTAACAGCGGGCAAAACGGGAGTAGATCACTCTTTAACAAATAATAAGTGACTATTTTGAAATTTCAAAGACTATATACTAACGGAAAAAAGTAACTGTGCATAGCATATAGTTGCATAAAATAAAAGCTATTTGAAAAGCTATAAAAATAACCCATAATTAACCCTTAAAAATTCCGAGTTTGTTGTTATTTTTTAAACGTAGGCTAAGGCTTGTTGACAACAATCCGTGCTTTTACATAAGCCTACTGGGAACAAGATGACCTAACGCAGTCAATTGACTGATCAGTAGAAATTTCAATCGTAACTACTCGCCTCTTTCCGTGACCTACAAGAAGACTCGTACCCCTGTCGTACGCCATCATTGCCAAGAATCGTGGCAAACCAATCACATCGCGTAGTAAAACGCATTTCGAACCTCCGTTGAACTATGAAACTTCGCTATACTATGCACAGCACAATTTAAACATAAACTTTGAGCTAAAGAATCAGCAACTTTAAACACTGAAACATATTTACAAAGGAATGACTGTATTGCTGTTTTGCCCACGGGATGTAGGATATTCTAGGTACCTGTTTGGCAATTCAGAGTTATAGTACTAGACTACTTTCATCTCGATGCCCGTTTGCGCTTAGACAGGGCCAAGTCGTAAACATGGACACCAGAGGGGCACGAGACGCCATCCGGCTTGCCGGAATGACACGAGTAGTTTCGAATGTAGAAAATTGTGTCACCGAGCTTGTCACGTAACGTATTACTACGCATAGATATCTCTGTACATTCCACGAAGTTTAGTTTCATGATTTTGTCGCTATTGAAATAGCCTTTTTTTAAAATTATAAAGTAAGAATAACATTGTATGATAAATACATTCTCACACTCGTGTGTTTTGGGATGGTTCATATCCTGCCTTAGGAGTAAACACGATGTGGTTTATTCTAATGCAGGATATTAACCATCCAAAAACACACTCGCGCGATAAACTATATGTATGACAAGATATAACTTTTAGCCAAATTGTCCGTTTTTTGGCATAACTTGTGATATTTGACTAATACTTTATATATACTTCTGGAATAAAGTAACTGTGCATTTTTGTTAAGTCATTTTTATAGCAACAAGATAATAACATGATTTGTGGAGTTTTCCTTAATCACTGTTTAACTGTTGACAGGATAATATCGAAATCTGTATGATTTGACAACAGGGACCTTAAAGAGATGTAGTGTCAAATAGACGACATTAAGCCATAGAATGAAAATTGGGCAATTTCGTTCCATGGCCGAACCAACGCTTGTCCCAATCAGCTAACGTAAATGTCTGATCTGATTCTGGGCTTGACCTAAACGTCTCTCCATTTCACACCAAGCGTGTTCGATACGAGACAGGTGCGGAGAAACAGCTGGCCAGGGAAGTACCGGAATGTTCTGCAGTCTCGGGAAATCTGTCACAACAAGAGCGACATATAGACGGGCATTATCTTGTAAAAGCATGATGTTACGTCTCTGTCCTTGAAGGAATGGCTGCACATGAGGCCCAATGATCTCATCCCTGTATCGCAGACCTGTCAGATTGCCAGTGACAATGACAAGTTGTGTCCGACAATGAGATGTGATGCCATAACGCAACAACGCCAACGCACTCGTCAGCATACCGTTCACCTCGCGGTCTGTACAGCCTTGCCCTGCCATCTGAGCTGTCCAGATGAAATCTCGACTCGTCAATGAAAACAGAATCCCATTCTTGTCCAGTGTACCGTCACGCGTGGACGGCCAGTAAAAGGCAAATCTCTCGTGTTCCCATTATGTTGCAAATGTCTCCAAAGAGATGAGATCGTGTTTCGATGAACACCAAAATGCCTGACCACTTCATTTTGGTCCATTCCAGTCTCCAGCATACCCGCAAAAGTAATGTGTCCCCATGGACCTTAGCATGGTGATCTACCTTCAGTTGTTGGAGATCTATAGCCTGCATTTCTATTATGTTTTGTCCCAATAGTGTTATTAGTTTTAACTTTATATGCTAGTTTTAATTCTAACTGTGGTAGTCTAGTTCTTTTACTGTCCTTTGATGACAGGTTTTATAATATACACGTATTTCATTTCAACGTCAAATAAGTTCTCGTCACGATAAGGTTGAAACATTGCCGATGTGACGTTAAATATTAACTCACTCACTCACTCACTCCAGCATACCCACAGCGAGGAGACACCGTGGCATGACGTACGCGCAGTTTAGGTTGAAATTAACGTGTTTTCCAACAGCATTCAGAGGCTAGAGAATAATCAACCGTTCTTCATTATTCAATATCATGTGTGTGAACTCATGATGTCAAAAAGCACGCTAAAAGTACGTTCCTTGTGCAAAAAATGCACGTGCCACGCGCGACACGTGACATCAAGTTTCACACAAAGTGCTTTGCTACATGTTTATTTAAGGTTACTTTTATAACTTTTCAAAGAACTTTTCTTTTATGCAATTATATTTTATGCACAGTTACTTGTTCTGTTAGTGTATAGTCTTTGATGTCATACTTTTACGATTGGTTTTCAGTTAGAAATTGATATTAACTGGTTCTCGCGGCGGATAGCTAGAAAACTGGTGATAAGGTGTAAAACAATACTCATCTATGAATTTGACACGCCGAAGACCCGGATTCGATTCTCCACATGGGTGCAATGTGTCAAGCCCATTTCTGATGTACCACGCTGGAATATTGCTAAAAGAGGCGTGTGTCTCTTGCAATGAGGTGTTCACCATCAAGCATATTCTGCTTTACTGTGTGGACTTTTCAACTGCAAGGAATTCACATTATAATGAGACAAATCTGAAAGATCTGTTTCCCCTCGTGAGCGGGGCATCTGATTGTTAACTAACTGAGGGAAGTTGATCGGTATCATAAATTGTAACCGTGTAATGTGAATAACAATTGCGTGCTTTTGAATTTAGTGCTGTTACATTTTCTGTTTCAAAATGAAAGTGATATGAATATATATATCTTTGAAATTAAACTCATTTGGATTTTGGATTTGAAATGTTCATGAAGCAGACTTGATCTCGTCACTATATGGCTGGACAAATGCCGATGTGACGTAAAGCCCAACTGAACTCAACTCATTGTATTAGTATATGTCACCATCGATGGAAAAGACCAACGTTTAACACACACATAATTGGCGACTCTAATTTGAACCTAAAACTTGAATTGTGGGTTCCAATCCCTATCATTTGTATTACACTGGTATTTAACAACCATGAAACGTATGTCATAACTGCGAACATATTTAACTAAACTTCAGGGCACAAAGAATGCATTTTTCACTCAACATGTGTGCAAGAAAAGCAAACATAGCATGTTTAATGTCCCTTCAGGTCTGCATGCCTGTCCATAAGTTGTGAGCTGTCTTCAATAGTTAATGGTAATTCAGTTTGCAATGTATTATATTTCTTTCTGATAATCAATATATCCCAGGATATCATTTAATAGTATACATTATCTGCCAAATACACATTATCTCAGTCAATATACAATAATAGAAGCAAACATGACATTAATGTGAATTTCTAAAACTGGATATCTGAGATCGGACACGGAATACATAAAGCAGTTAGGCGATTGAAAAACTCGCAGGAAATGCAAGGTAAAAGACATTTTGATCTTTACCTCTGAGCAAAGCATCTATTGACAAAGTTAACTACGACACCGATTTAAGTAGCGTGAGATTGTTGCCATGACAACCATTTCCTGTATTTCCATCTTGATTCAGTGTAAAGTGATAGCCCTCTGCTTGCAGAAGGTGGAGGCAGGTATTTACACAGGAAGAGCTAACATCTGTTTATGAAGCACTTACCGATAAGTATGAGATGTGTTCAAAGTACCTGGTGGTAATATCCTTGTTTAATGGATGCGTGGCATTGAATATTCCAGCAAATGGGTAGTGTATGATCCACAGAGTCACTGTGAATACATAAATAAAAAAGTTGGACTGAAACAAGACATGCATATATCAATGCAAACCATTCTGAGCATCCCCACTGTACAGTGACATCATGTATTTCATGTCGGCTTTAACACTACTTTCACTCGTCATCTTATCAGACGCCAATAATTACAATACAACCCAGTCAACATTATCAAGACTCAAGACATATCTCCAAGGGGAAAAAGAATCTGCTGGTATTAGTACTGACCTCACTGAGGGCAGACATGTTAAAATAAGTATAATGCCACTGTCCATCTCCAATCTCAATGCAGCCGAACAGACTTTCACTTTTAGTGCTCGTGTCAACATGAAATGGAGCGACCAAAATTTGGCTTGGAACACAACTGAGTATGATGATATTAAAAGGGTGACCATCTCTGCAGATTACGTGTGGGCACCTTCTGTTGTCATCCCCAATGGTATCGACAACGTTGTACCCACTTCAGCACCACCACCAAGCATTCGTAGTGCAGGAGTTGGAAAGCTTCAATTCTTTGAGAGTTTCAAGACCAGTTGTCAAATAGACATCTCTCTGTACCCGTTTGACCAGCAGCGATGCAGCGTACTCTTCATGCCTGTCAATGGTTACACATTAGAAGTATCTAAGTCGTCTTTTGGCGAGAGGCTACAGTCTTTCTTCATTGAGAACAGTGAATGGGAGTTGGTTGACATACTTGCCAAAGTGGAAGACGTCGGAATGACATCAATAACCAGTTTTGCATCGTTTGAGTTTCTTCTGAAACGCAAAAGCATGTTCTATATAGTGAGTATCATCTTTCCCATGACTCTTCTCTCTCTGCTCAACGCCTGTGTGTTCCTCCTACCAGCTGACTCCGGAGAGAAGATGTCCTACCTCATCTCCATATTTGTGTCATATGCAGTGTTCATGAACTTCGTCAATGACTCAATCCTCAAGTCCGGAGACGTGTGTCGACTGTCTGTGTACCTGACCCTCGTTCTTTGCCAGAGCTGCCTGGCTATCATCACAACCATGGCCATCCTCAATGTCCGCAGTAGGGGACTGCTACTTCAGACCAAGACGGGTGTACATCAAGCAAATGCCAAAGTCACCACGAACGGCACTGAACGTCCACATCTGAAGTGTGCAACAAAAATAGACCTCGTTTTGTTCGGAGTGTTCCTGCTTCTGGCACTGATGTCTCTGCTGGTGTTTTGTGTATAGAAAGGATTGTGTCTGTGGGTCGAAATTCCATCTCCTTACTCTCTATGGGAATGCCTAGCGTGTTATTACCATTTCGGATTTGGGATTTGCAACGTCATTATGTCATGCGTCGATCGCTTCGACAATTGTTCCCTCTGTCATAAATGGTATGTGTATAGGCTACTATGTCATAGATTGTTGTTGACTACAGAACTGTTGTTGCAAATGACTATATTTATGAGTGCTCACAGTTAATAACGTGCTGGGTGTTTAATAGACTAGATTATCGTGGACCTTTAGCTATTCCTCATTCAAATTAATGTTACTTAATAGTGCATTTAGCAACATTTCAGTCACATTTCGCTCATTGTGTGTTATGGTTTGGTAAACGAGTAATTATAACAAGGTTCACAGACATGCTAAATCTTGAATCCAAAACCACGACCAGCAATACTTCATGTATATATTACATATCGACTACTGCCAACAGTGGTTGAGTTAGACATTCCGTTGATGGTGTATTCTACGCGTGTATATGTGTTGTTTCTTTCTTCAAATAAGTTGTAATAAATGCTCCTGGTGTTACAATGAGAGATAACTCTGTTCATTATTGAAACATATAAATGTAATGTTATATGACAGTGAAATATTTTGCCAACGATTTTGTAATGGATTATTTCTGTTATGTTTGTTTGTTTAACTCCGCACTCAGAAATATTCCAGATATAAGGCGGGGGCCTGCAAATATTTGAGTCTGGACAAAACAATCCAGTGATCAACATCATGAGCGCCGACCTATGCAATTGGGATACGATTACATGTGTCAACCAAGTCAGCGAGCGTGACCACCGATCCCGTCCGTCGCCTCTTCCGACAAGCATCGGTTACTGAAGACCAGTTCTCACTCGGATCTTCATTGGTAGATATGAGCACACTGGTCTCCATAGGTCAATTTTTCAACTAGTTGCTACCAGTACGAAAAGAAAACAGCCATGACATGTACACATCAATTCTGATTTTAGAATAACCTGCTTTAATCGACTGTGGAAGGGTCGAAAGAACAAGCGACAATATATATGTGTATGTTTTGGTAAAGATGCCTTCTTTCGTGATAATGAAACGATAAGTATTAACTCTAACTCACTCACTCACTCATTCACTATCCATCTCTGCAGATAGACAACGTGCCTGTTATGGGTGATGTCACATGAGTTCAATGTTCTATAAACAGACTCAGGAACCGTGATATTTGCACAGGTTTTGGCAGATACAGATCGAGACATTGTCATCTGTACACCTGAAGCGAAATACTACGGAGACGAGTAACGATCTTCACTTCTCCACAGACCCCAGAGATAGCTTCGAAATAGCAAATAAGTTTGCTGGGTAGTTAATCCATAGCTACAAGGACAAAGAATGAAGTCTAGAATCAACGTTCGACGAATTTGGTCATGTTGAGTCATCTAGTTCGTCTGGACGTCCCTTCAAGATTGACCAGTTTGTTGTAAGATAATGAACGGAAATGATTCCGCACTGCTGCTCTTCATCCACCACGGGCACAGGGGTATTATACTCAAGTGAACGAGTGAGTTTGAATTTAATCAGTATTTCAGGCATATCTCGACTAAAAAAGTTGTAAATTTGTAAATTCATAAAAACAAACTAATTTAGTTAATATACTTACCTGTTTTCAAAGAACAGAATATCCCAATCTATCACAGATTTACATTAAAAACTAGCATATAACCATAAAACACCATTTCCATCTGCAAATACAATACAGAACATTATTTATTTCTGTAACATTATCGAGAATGAATTCCATTGTTATGTTATTTGTCCTGTATATGTAAAGAAATAATTATCTACCAATAAATAATTATCATTTGCCTTTATATCATTTTAATGTTAAACTATTGTCTTCCTAACTTTCCTGCAAAGAACCCTCAACCAACACAGTGTAGCCCTATTTATTTACAACGTATTTTTGTTAAGAAAAGAAGTGGTTAGTTAGATGATGATTATATGTGCTATTGCTAGTATGTATCTCTTTGTTCATGTGCCAATGGCCTTTCATGCAATAAAGAATTGAATTGAACTGAACGCGTGGTAGGGTATGAGTATAGAGAAGTGAGATTTTGGGTGCCTGGTCTAAATATATAGGCTATTGAGAGGTAGTATGTTGAGGATTGTTTGGGAGGATCTAAATTTTATTTATTATATTTGAGTTTTGGATAAAGGTGGCTATGGCATGGAATACATTTGACGGGTTAAAAAGGATTTAAAAGTAGCTGTATGTTGTTGTGATATTTAGTTGGAATGCTGGTGTGTAGTTGTGTGATGTTTGTTTGTTGGAGGTGGCAGTTTGTGAATATGTGTTCAATGGTTTCAGGTTGATTGCAATGTGTACATAATCCATCTGGGTGTCTGTTTTGTTTGAATAATGGATGATTTAAGTTTGTGATGCCAGTGATTAATCTTATAATGAGTGTGTCCATGTGTTTGTTGCTTGAGTAGGTGAGTGTTTTGGTGATAGGTTTAGTTATGATTGCTTTGACCCAGGTGGATTTGTTTGTGTTAAGGTTGTGTTGGTAGTTTTGGTTGATTATGTGGTGTTTGATGAGTTGTTTTATTTCGGTTTTGGATGTATGAAATTTAATGGGTGGAGAGTTTTGTGTGGTGGCTAGTTTGGCTGCTATGTCTGCTGTGTTATTTCCTTGGTTGTGTGTGTGAGCTGGAATCCACATTAGTGTTATGTTTTTATTTAGTTGTTGGAGTGAGTCGGTTTGTATAATTATGTTGTGTATTAAGTCGTTTCGTGCTTTTGAGTGCTTGTGTTGAAGTTGTTTGATGGCGCTGAGAGAGTCTGTAAGTAATAGGATGTTGGTGTGGGGCATAGTGGGGATGAGGTGAAGTGCTGATAAGATTGCTGTGAGTTCTGCTGTGTTAATGTTTGTGTGGTTTGTATAGTGGAGGTTTGTTGTTAGGGGGGGTGTTTGGTTTACATGGATGCCTATGCCTATGCGTTTGTTTGTGCCGATTGAGGCGTCTGTATAAATCTGGGTATGGTTGGGATAATTTAGGTTGATGTGGGTTTGGATGAGGTTTGTTTTGGTTTGAGTGTCTGTGGGTTTAGGGAGATTTTGGAGTGTTTCTACTAGGGTGATATCTGTAGGGGGTGGGGGTTTGTCATGAATGTAGCTTGTTATGGGAGGTGTGTGTTGGATGGTGTTTAGGTGGTGTGAGTGAAGCAGACTGTTGAGGTGAGTGAGTAGGGGGCTTTGTTTGGGTTGTTTTTAAATTTTTTGATAGTGGATTTTTTAATGTTTGTGTATTTAGTTGTGATGAGTTTGTAGATTGGGTTGTGTTGGGCCCCAGCCCAGTAATTGAGTGCGGTTTGATTTATTCGTGTTTTGATTGAAGGGATGCCTGTGAGTAGGAGAAGAGTGTTGTGGGAGGTACCAGTCCTAGTGCCTAGGGCTTGTTTAAGGGCTTTATACTGTATTGAGTTTAATTTTTGGAGGTTGGTTGGGGAGATAGAGTGGAGGACCGGAGCAGCATAGTCCAGTCTAGACTGTATCAGAGTTTTGTATATACTAATAAGTGTTTGTTTGTCGGCTCCCCAGTTTGTGCCGCTGATGGCTCGCATGAGATTTAGATCTTTTTGACATGAGTTGACCAGGTTATTAATATGGGGTGTCCATGTCATGTGTTGGTCGAAAGTTACACCTAAGAATTTTGCCTCTTTTTCGAACTTGATTTCTTGGTTGTTGAGATGAAGTTTGGGTGTATAATTTTGCATTCTTTGTTTTTTGAATATGATGCCCACGGTTTTTTTAACGTTAATGTGGAACCCCCATTTCTGGGCCCAGTTTTGGATGTGGTTTAGCATTCTTTGAGTTTTGATTGTGGCTTGTTTTCCTGAGGTGGATGATGTCCAAAATGAAATGTCATCAGCAAATTTTGCAGTAGAAATTTCTGGCCACTTGTCCGGAAAAAAATGTCATTTATCATAAAATTGAATAGTGTTGGGGAAATTATGCTCCCCTGGGGGGTTCCATTTTCTAGTGGGAAAGGGTCCGAGACAGTGTTGTGTGATTTGACTATTATTTGTCTGTTATTAAGAAATGCTTGAATGAAATTTAGAATCCGCCCGTGTATGGCATTTTCTTGTAGTTTTTGTATTAGGCCGTTGTGCCAGATCATGTCGAAAGCTTTGCTGAAATCTATAAAAATGGCCAGCGTGTATTGTTTTTGTGCTTGGGCTACCTTTATATCATGTTCCAAATGTAAAATGTGATCCAAAGTTTGCCTATTAGGAGTGAAGCCACTCTGGTCCTGCTTAATTAGGTTATGGGTTTGAATTTGGTGTTTTAGTCTATTGTTTACTATAGACTCTAAAGTTTTACATAGGTGTGAGGTAAGGGAAATGGGTCGAAATGAATCTGGGGAGTTTATGGGTTTCCCCTGCTTTTAGGATTGGTACCACCTTGGCTGTTTTCCATGAAGATGGTATGTTTCCTGTGGTCCAGATATGGTTGAATAGGGTGAGTGTTAAGTTTAGGATGTTTGGTGGAAGTTTGTTTAGTATGGTGTATGTAATGTTATCTGGACCAGGGGCTGAGGCTGTTTTTTTATGTTTTAAGGCTGCCTTAAGTTCGTGTATGTTTATGTTTTTGTTTATAGGTAGATGTGAGTGGGGTGGTTCAGGTGAGTAGGGTGGGTGATTTTTAATGGTGTTTTGGAAGTTAGCTGTGTAGTTGGTGGAGCTGCTAGTGTCCGAGAAGTGGGCAGCAACAGCATTAGCTTTATCTTTGTTTGTGGGGAGGTTCGGAAGGTTAGGTTGAATAATGGATTTGGAATTTCCCTGTATGGCTTTAAATTTTTCCACATTTTTCTAGAGTTATGTTGATTTAGCCTGAGGGTTGAGCAAAATTTTCTCCAATGTTCCTTTTTTGCTGCCTTGATTAATTGTTTTGTATTATTTCTGAGTTTTTTAGCTAAATGTAATTTCGAACGGT